CGGTGCCATTAATGTCCCAGAAAAGTCCTCCGAAGGATTTCGTGGCTGCTCTCTCCATCACGACCAGAAAAGGACCGCAGAACACAACACTTGGTGCCATCTAGGCCAGTGCCCACCACTGTTACAATGGTACATAAAATGACAGAAAGTCACTAATTAAGGCACCGATGCTTAAACAAACAGTGCTACAGATGGGTTATGTTGCTAGTTATAGCTCCCAAGTTACAACCACAGCTGTCCTATTATTTGTTTGACTGACCTTCCTAAGGTGCATATCACCCAAGGCGTCAATGGGTATCTGGCTATTCAGGCAGGGTGACCCAAGCAGCTGGCCACATCACTCCTGTGTGTACCAATGGCTATGGGAACAGATGTGTATTTGCTTATTGTAAACTGCTCTGAGCCTTCTGGATAGGGTGGGATATAAATCTAATAAATAAAGATACAGCACCAGTCACCACGCTATGTGAAAACCTCACAGTCTCATGTCCCAAACCCCAGTGAGGGAGGGATATGCCCATGTTACAGATGTAAAATAAAGGCACAAGGCATCTAAGTGACTTTCTCCGAGCCATACAGAAAGTCTGAGGCAGAACTATAGTCTCCTGAATTGTAGACCAGCATCCTAGCCCCCCACCCATCCTTCTGCTAATAACAGGCTGCCCTGATGGAGAAGCACGGCGTGTTTGCGTGCCACTATTGGGCATAGTTGGTTTACCACACAGGAGGCCAAAAATGAGTTAAGCCAAATGCCAATCATATCAAGGAAATAGGTCCCAGTCACCCTGATTTAATCTGTGGAAGCTGCTTTCCACCATGGTGTAGGGCACCATGCAGAAATGCAGATGTAACAGAGACCTTGGCAATCTTGAAATGGCTAAGTAGTTCCTAATACATGCTAATGAGCCTGCCTGAACTGTCAATTAACTACAATCGCAGAGAATTAATTCTCCGCAGCCATCTTTAGTGATTCTTACTTTAGCGGGTTGTCTTACAGAGCCTGGGACCATAAACTGATGGTCATTGCTTTTGGCCTGATCTTCATTGGTCATTTCTATGCTGGCCAGAGCATCACTAGAGATATCATACTTCAGTGAACCCTGCAAGCCAAAGAAAACAAATGAGATAAGGTTGTGTGATCTGCGTTATGGGCTTGCTAAATTATAAATTCAAATCCTGGAAGGGCTGAAAGAGACTTGGATTCTTTCCAAGTAGATGGACTGCTTTTCATGGAGTCCACTGTCTTGCACGTCTTTCCTATAGGAGCTCACTGCTCTACGTGGCTGTTGTATGCCAAATGTTGTCTGCCAAATGTGACTGTTGTATGCCACGTTTTGTAACCGTAGAGATTGTGTTCAGTCCCCTTGACCAAAATCCCCCCCTTGTCACAGCTGTGCAAAGGGCTGCGGACCAGCCGGTTGCTCCCTCCCTCCCCAGAGTGGTCTGCATTTCACTGGGGCTGTCGGTGTGCAATAGAAACCAAGGTATACAATCTGCATTTTGGTTCCCAGTACTCCAAGCCCTACAAAGGTTCCTGTATCCATGGCTTTGGTCCAGTCCATTATCAAGGGAACAATCACTTGCATCTGTATTTGGGCTCAGCTTTCAAACACCCCAGGTGTCAGGTGCTTTAGGTCTGGCTTCAAAAGACTTTGAGATCCTTTAGGATGATGAGCTGTGTGACAAAGGTTAAGTTCTCCGTGTTAGTCTGAAGTCAAGCTGAAGGGAGGGTGGATTTGCACCTTATAGATGAACCAAAGTCATTCAGCTGAGCGCGGTGCGATCCATGAGCGGACAGACTTAGCTGTGTTAGTCTGAAGTCAAGTAAAAGGAAGACGAGTGTAAGGCCGCTATCATTATCACTATCACTGTCACTTCTTTAGACCACGTGGTTGCACCCAAGATTCAGAGCCTTAATGGGCTCTTTGCGCGGTGGCGGGGAGAAACGGATGGCAGTGTTTAAGCAGAAAGGATGGAGCCAAGGCCTGTCTCCCTAACACAGCAACAAATAGCAGACAGGTTCCCAATCCTGCCTTTCCAACCCATCCCATGCCCCCCAAAAGTTCTGCCCCTCTGCTCCCTCTCTGAGCCATGCACATATCTGATACCCTCCCTTTTGCTGGGTTTTTTTGCATTTAAGCCCTCGTTTGCACTATAGTGTTTGAGTCCAGTCAGGCCCAATGCTTCTATCTGCCAGAAACCTTACCCTGCCTCTGCTGAGTGGAGTAAAGCTTCTTCCACCATCCAGCAGAAGGGACAGTCTTGCCCCTACAACCCACTGCCATGGTCCCTTCAGCAGGTAAGGCCATCCCAAGGTGCCCTCTATACCCCGAAGCAGCTTCTAGGGAACTATGTAGACCCACCACACATGCACAAACACACTTTGTCAAACAACCCCCAAGCTCCTAAACCTGCAACGAATGCCAGCAAAACCTCTCACCCTGCACAACTTAGTCCTGCTTATGTTTCGCCGGGGATTTCACCACTTTGGCTGGCACGTCCTGTTGTCGCCAGCTCTCTCCCCCTAAAGGATCTTAACCAATCCCTTCATCCTTCCTGCACTTGGGAGCTTATCTCACCCATCATCCTTGCAAAAAGATTGCATTTGAACCATAGATCAAAGACCGTTAGTGCTTTTCAGCATAACATTACGTATTACACAGATGACTGCAAGTCACCAAAACAGACATAACAATAATCTCCAATATGGGGATGTCATAAATTCATTGCAACCAGCAAAGCCTTCCTCCATTGCAATGATCCAGTAAAGGGAGGAAGTGAAGCAGGATCTTTAGGTTAAAGCCACAGGACTTGCTGTCATTAAGACCTGAGCCAATTCCTGGCTGGTCCCATTCCTAACTCTGTAGTTTTGATCAAGTCATTTCTCTGGGCTCTGTTGCTTCTCTCACCTCTTCTTCTTGAGGCTCTGTCTGATCTTGGAGAAGCGCCATGGGATGGATACTCACTGGGTAGTCAGTGGCTTGCTTTTTCTTGGACATCTTGCCTTTCCTGGAGCTGGCCAAATGCTGGATGATCACTTCCAGGCCCTCTCTCAGGAGAAGGTCAGTGAGCTCCTTCAGAAGAGCCAACTGCAATGGAATAGAAACCACTCCATAAGTTCATAAGAACTGCCTTTTACTGGGTCAGACCACAGGCCCATCTTGCCCAGTCTCCTGTATTGCACAGGGGCAGAGGCTGGGTGCTGAAAAGGGGAGTGAACGGGATCGGACCAGGGTTTTTTCCACTGCTCCTTTCCCCCTTTGCAGCCTCCAGCATTAAAGGTCTAGGAAGTTGTGATTCAGACCATGCTCACCACCTACCAATGCCCCTTTCCTCCAAGCATGTGTCTAATCTGTCTTTTGAATCTAGTGAAACAGTCGGCTTCCACCACATCTGGTGGCAACAAGTCGCACGCTTTAATCCCACACCTGTGAAAAAGCACTTCCTTGTGTTCGTTTTAAACTCACTACCTATTCGATTCATTTTGTAACCCCTAGTTTTTGTCTTGTGAGAGTCAATAAAAAAATCCCCTATTGACTTTCTCTTTGCCATTTAGCATTTGGTAAACCCTTATCATGCCGCCCCTCAAGCATCTCTTTTTTTTTTAAACTGAATTGGCCTCGCCTCTTCAGTCTCTCCTCATATGGAAACCCTTCCCTACCACTGATCATTCTTATTCCCCTTCTCTGGATCTTCTCTAGTTATTCTGTATCCTTCTAGAGGTGTGGAAATCAGAACAGGGCACAGTAAATATTCAAGGCGTGGATACACCATGGATTTATAAAGGAGAATCGTGATACTTCACAATTCCCTTCTTAATGCCTAAAATTTTGTTTGCCTTTTTGATGGCTGCTGAGCACTGAGCTGATGTTCAAACCTTTCCCCGTCTTTACTGACATGAGTGAAGACAGCAAAAACACACCCAGTGTGAGATCATGCTTGACACACACATCAGATGATCTGTTTAAACCCAATGGTTAAAGAGAGGCCAACAGACTTGACCAGACATATGCCTGACTCATGGATATGTGATGTCAGGTCTCCAAGTCCCAATATCTGGTAGAAGTTTTCTCCTTCCTGGTGCCTAGTGAAAGGTACCCCTAACAGCACTGCAGATGGGAGTCTTTTGCTACAAATGTGCATCTTCTATGCCTCATCAGGCAACTCCACTCTTTAGTACTGCCATCCTAGTTGTGCTCTAGCTCCAGGCTGGGCCAGTGGTTAAGGTGCTAGCATCATAGAAATTAAATCATAGACTCATAGAAAATGAGGGCTGGAAGGGACCTCAGGAGGTCACATCTAGGTCCAACCCCCTGCTCAAAGCAGGACCAGCCCCAGCTACATCATCCCAGCCAAGGTTTTGTCTAGCCGGGTCTTCAAAACTTCCAAGGACGGAGAGTCCGCCACCTCTCTGGGTGACCTGCTCCAGTCCTTCACCACCCTCCTAGTGAGAAAGTTTTTACATTTGGGTGATTTACATTTGGGACTGGGAGCCATTCAAGTATTAGGGTCAGGAGCGCCATCAAAGAATCATAGCTAAAGAGAGGCCAACAGGCTTGACTAGACATATGAAATGAGGACTGGACATATGAAGTGAGTCCTGAGCAACTTGTGTTTAGTAAGTTTTAAAGTCACTATTTTGTCTCCTGCCTTACACAAGGCCAATTTGCCAGGCCACACAATCAATGGTGAGGAGCAGCTTCAAGGGTTTCTTGACTATGCGCACAACAGCTGATATGTTTAAACCCAGTGGTTAATGCAGGGCAGCCATGTCGGAATATTTTTGGCCTAAAGACATTTTCAAGTTGAGCAAACACAAGCTTATAGCTGGGCTTTTCAGAAGCACCTCCAGCCCAGATCCTCAAGGTATGTGGGTTCCTAACCCAAAGTCTGAGTAACTAAGCCAAACACAGACCCTGGTGAAAGTCAATAGGATTTGTAATAGGAGGTCAATAGGATGTCATGGAGACATTTTTAAATGCCCACATCCTGCTTGGCATCTAGTGAGAGGAAACAGCAGGGCTCCCTTGAGGCTTTCTCTAAACTTGAGCACTTGCATCTGAGCTCCAAGCTTCTCTACCATTTTCCTCACTAAGGTTGGGAACATGGAGATGCAAACCCTGGAGAAATACTAAGGTTGTCTGCAACAGTAAGATGGACTTGATTTTGAACCAAAGAACAGCCTGGGCTGGGCTTTCAAAAGAAGCCAAGAGCCCAAATCCCATCAAAAAGGAGTTGGGTGCCTTGCGCCACGTGCTTTGAATACCCCAGCCTTGCTTGTGACAACCTGGAGTGAGGAGAATAGGGAGGCACTACACTGATGGCCATGTGGCACTGACATTTGACTTAAAGAAGACACTATAGGAATAGCTGCTGGCTGGACTGTGTCCTATCCCTGGCACCCAGGGAGGCCACCCAGAGCTGGTTAGCAAGCTCCAGGGTGGAGAGCTGGATCTCTTTGGTTGGTGTCATTACATTGCGCAGTCTTGGCTCGTTGTCCTTTGTCTCACAAGTAGAGGACCAGCCCCACCTGCACTCCTACTGTGTTAGGTTTTACATACGTCTAGTACAAGAGCTGGTCCCTGCCTTGAAGAATTAGCAACTAAAGAGACAAGACAGTCAGAAAGGGAAGTATCGTGTCCATGTGGCAAAACAAGAAATAAATGTCAATGATTTCTGAAGCTGCAGGCACTAGCCTTAACCCTAGCATCATCCTTCTCCTGCTGGGTGGGTCACTTAAAGCTACTGGAGATGAATAATGGTAACTAGCCACTGTCGACTGAGACAGCCTGGCCTATTCATTATTGTCAGTTCCTGGAAGAGCGGGACCCCTC